ACAAAAGAAGAGAATCTGTTCCTGACATTTCACAGTAAAGCTGGGGCAATTTTGAAGCAAAATTACTACCTAATGCTGCTGCTTCTTTATTGGACTGCCAAGCCCAATGTTGAAGGAAACAGACTGCATTGATATTACAAAGTTAACCCAAGAGTAACTGGCTTTTTGTATGTGTGCAGATAAGCAAGTAACTCTATACTCCACTTAAACTCTTATGACTGATAAACGCATACTGATATTCTTGATGTGCTTAACCTAATAATGATACGTCTACATCTTTAATTACTGCACTCATGTAGCATTTTTTTTTTACTTTATTGGGGATTTCTAGGGGAACAATGTGTTTTTTCCCAGGACCCGTCAGGTCCAAGTCAAGTTGTTGTCCTTCAATCTTAGTTGTGGAGGGTGCAGCTCAGCTCCAAGTGCAGTCGCCGTTTTCAATCTAGCTTCGGCAGGGGGTGGGGGGTGGCATAGCCCACCATACCGTGTGGGAATCAAACCAGCGGCCCTGTTGGTCAGAGCACACACTCTAACCAATGGAGCCACTTGGCTGCCCCATGTAGTATTTCTTAAAGGTAATATAAAGAGTAGTGAATATAAAGGAAAATACAAATTTAGAAAAATATTTTAAAAGGTGGAGATCATATATTAAACACATAATTAAAGTCCTCTGATTTGTTAGAGGGGATCAATTTAGAATAACATTCCCACAGTGTTAACATTCAACACAGTATTAACATTCAACACAGTATAACTTAATTGGAATTTCTCTTTGTCATTTGTCTTCACCAATCTTGAAGCCACAGAACATATGTAATTTGGTTGATACTTTAGTTGTATAATTTTCTTTGTTTTAATATCAAATATCTTGTGGTTTCTGAATATTCTTTGGAATAGTTCATATTCTAAAGACTGAAAACATCATTTGAAGTGGTCCTAAGATTAAACAAGAAACAATTTCCAACAGAAGACAGACAATTCAAAATAGAGGAGTTGTGCAATTATCATTGACAGTAAACAGACCCATTCTTTCCTCGCTAACTTTAAGATCCACTTGTAATTTAAAGAACACTGCAAAATAAAAAGTTATCATTATCTATTATCAAATATTTATAGACTGCTTGTCATTAAACTTAAAACTTACCTTAGTTTACATGAGAAATATAAGATATCACTACTGACTTTAAAGAGTTTATAGTTGACTTGAGGGAAACCAAAGCAAAATTAAGCAATAATTAAAGTCTGTCTCATGGAATAGTTACTACAAGTGCATTCATGTCCCAAGATCAAAGGTAGAAGGAATACATTTCAATTGGCTTTGTCGGAATAAACCCTTTCAGAGATGGGACTTTGCACTGGCCTTGAAGAGAGGGATTTAAGAAGCAGGTGATAGTTTCAGGCTGGAAGTCTCATGGACTTGACATCATTGTGGCCTCAAAGGCCAGGAGTAGATAGATTGAGGATTTCAACAGCTTCAAGTATGGTTGTTGAGCAATACAAGTAAAGTGGTTAACAAGATGTGGAAAGCCATGGGGCGTTTGCCAGTGACTGTGAAGAAAGTGGTTTGAAACCTGGAAATCATTAAAAATTTCTTGTGGCAGATTCTTCAGTGCTTGAGTTACAATCCTGCATTTTCTACTTCTTAACTCTTTCTTTGGTCTTACTTTCTCTAGCTGAAAAATGAGAACAGGAGAATTTTTGTTTGTCTTAAATTTTTCTTTTGAGCCTCAAAGAATAAATATGAAGCTCAAAAGAAAATGAGCATAAAAGTGTCTTGAAAGCTGCAAACCATTAAGAATGTTTTTATTCATATTACATTACTCTGTGGTATTATGACTAAAATTTGATTGCTTTTGACAATCAGTAAAACTTTCAGGCTATCTAGGTACCAGTATCATTTGTGGATTGTTTCATTATAGCTTGAGGCAAAAATAACACTATGCCTTTTCTTTTTTTTTACTACCTGGACACAATGCAGGTAAGGAAAATGACTTCCCTTTAAATTCGTGATAAAGAATAATAACTTTTAAAGAGCTCTGACTCCTATGGATTTGGTGCTGTCATTCTCAACTGCAGGGAGTCTTGAACCATCCACAATCCTATCTGGCTTTGCACAAGGCCACATCAGAGGTACCTAGACAGGAGCCAGACATAGGCCATGAGCCAGAATGATTTCAATAAGAACCCAGGTTAAATTACACACTGCTTCCTGATTAGGTTGGGCAACCCAACAGCCCACTTCTAGTGGGGACTTTCTATTACCTGATTGCCAGCTGGAGAAATATTTTGTTTCTTTGTATTCTATTAGCAATGCATGGTAAGTTGTTTTAGAGTGCAAATAAGGTGAAGCATACACAGCTATAAGAGTGGCAGGAGGACCTGGAGACATGACCCTTCTCTGATCCTAACATTTAGTGCCAAGGCTAATCTATATGCTCACTTATATTTAAAATAGGTTATTTGGAACTCATCTACACACACACACACACACACACACACACACACACACACACACACGCGTGCGTGTGTGTGCAATTCAATAACTTATGTTAAACTTTTTTTCTCACAAAGTCTTATTATACTGTCATTTGTTCTGTGTGATTAAGTTGAATTTAACTGTCCAAGAGTTTTAGTCACATTTTTGAACCTTTGTCTTACCCACATTCATGAGGTTTATCTTTTGTGAGGTTTTCAGATGCCTTCTAATTTCTAAAAAGTCAGTATAATAAATCTGCAGGCTGTTTTTCCAGATTACCACTCCCCAGAAGGATGAAGGATTGCATTAGCTGAGTCAGGTATGATGCTGATGGTATCAGGAAGCTGTGCAGAGACAGAACTTCCCAGTTAGCTTCCCACAAAGTGAGGCCAGGCCTCTCAGCCTCCTCAACTAGAAATTTTCTTATTTCCTTCCAGGCTAAATGTTCTAAAGGTGTAGGACACCTCTTCCTTGTTCAACAATGGTGGTGATGTCCTGCCAAGGATGATGAGTGGAAGAGTTAATAAAATTCCCCAAAGTCACGGGGACAAGGAAATGCATTTCGTTCCGTGACTGGTTTCCGATTGCCATCATGTTTATCAATTGTCTTTGCTGAACTACTGTGAAGACAAGCGTCTTTGGAACAATCCAGAAGAGTATCTAGTTAGATTTTAATGAAAGAAAGCCAATGCGCATTCCAATATCATAGTTACGCATGCTACGGATTTGGACATGTGAAAGACCTGGCTGTTCAACCTTCAGTGTTCTAACTACTTTCACAGACAACGGAGAGAGGAGCGAGATGGAGAGGAAGCTGAAAGCTGCCTCACCACTCAAGTTGAGGGGATAGCTCTGGCCTCACTCACTTCAGACCACAACTGGCCTGCTGAAACAGCCACTAATTATCAAGTTGGATGCTTCCAGAAGCTTGTGTGTGTGAGCCACCCTTCCCTCCCATGAAGTTGTTTGAGTGAAGCGAGTGTGGGTGCTGTCTGACTGCCAAATTGATTTGAATCTCTAGACAAAACTTCTTGATGAGCCCCTGAAACCCATCAGCCTTCTACAGCTTCACCAAATTGGGTCAATGACACACCTGCCTGGGGACCCATAGCTAAAGCAGGCGGGGGCTCTGTGGCCTTGCTTTAATCTGCACTCACCCCATCCCATCCCACCCCCAACAGAGACCATACCCCTTCCAACTCGATAGATAATGTATTGAACTGCAGAAAGCAAGGTACCATCTTCCAGGGCAATTTGTTGGGTGATTTTTGAAGGATTTGTGAAGCCACCTAGACACATATATGCTTGCTAAGCTGCAAGTACAGAATTTCCAGTAAGCAGACTTGATTTTTTTTAATTAGGCAATTGGGGGATGGGAACAGCTCTGGGGACTTGGGGGAAGGGGAACAGACAAGCTGCTGTCCCCTCGCTCCTCAGTCTAGCCGTGGAGGACACTGCCTCACTGGCCCAAGCCGGCACCATCACTGCACTCCTCCCGGGCAAGGCAGATCAGTTGCCGGCTTCTGGACGGCCGCTCACAGCAGCTGCTGGCCGCTCACGCTGGCTGCTGGCCACACACGGTAGCCCATGGCAACCCACTGCAGCAGTGGCTTCAGCCTAGGCCGCAGCTGGCGACTCATGGCAGCCCAGCTCCAGGTTGAGCTGTTGTTCAGCATCTCAGCTGTGGAGGGCAGTGTCACTGGCCCTCACATGTGGGATCCGAACCCCGGGCCCTCTGGCGTCCCAAGCCAGTTCTTCACCAACGCGCCTCTCGGCCGGCCCCAGATTTGATTTTGGAGCCTGTTCCTACCACTGACTTCAGGTGGGAGTACAGACACTTTTTATCATATTACCTAGGTTTCTAAAACTGGCTGAAGTCCAAAGAAGAGAAAACTAATTGAGGAATCTAGTATGATCTGCCTGCAAGGAGAAGAGGTAAGGCTTTCAGCTTAGTGCAGTCCTAATCACAGCTCACGTTTCCAGAATAATAAGGATAAATAATAAATAAAATATTAGGATCAAGGATATTCATAACTTTTTCTAAAGTCAAACCTCCTGCTCACTGCTTAGGTTCAGTCTCCCTCTTTAGATGGAGATGAAGGACCCATCCCAGAGGGCTCTGTCCCCTGGGAGAAGCTGGCCTTTGCTAGCCCTGGTTGGCCCAGAGATGAAATCGCTGCAGGCTTGCTCCTCACCTGCGGCAGAGGTGCTGCTGCTCCACCCACCGCGGGGCCAGGTTATCCCGTCCTCCCCCAGTCGGGTGCAGGCAGCCAGCCTCCTCCTCTACTTCTGCGGCTTGCCCCTCCACCCGTCCCCTCCTTCCCCTTCTCCTCCCCCACTTTCTTCC